GACGAGGATGTTGCCTTTCAGCTGTTTTTCTTGCCTTTATTCACTCGGACTTGACAAACCTGCCTACGGAGTGATGTTTTTGCCCATTCGGAAGTGCACCTGTGACTTCAACGTACTTGCCCCTTTTTTTTTTCTTTTTTTTTTTTACGCATACTCACCAGACCCCCATCCTACCACCTCACTCTATATATCTCCTGGCGCACCCCCACTCCTTTTTCTATCTTACCTCATGCGAGGAACATCAATCTCTACTGGTGCAACCTGACCAGACAGCGGACGCTCGCACTGACGCTGAACGAGCTCCCCCATTCAGCCCCAGTTGAGGCACATAACAGCGCACAAGCCTCCTTTATACGGGTACGTACCTCGAGAGCTATAAGCGTGAAGTTCTCAACTAGTCCCATGAGCAGTGAGGGCACCCATAGGCAGTGTCTAATGGTCGGCTAACCAAGGTCTAACCCATGATCCCCCTACCTCTAAACACCAATCCAGCACGACGCGGTTCATATATGGCTGCTGTTGGTTGTTGAATATGCTGGTTGTTATGTGAGCTAGTGTGATATCATGGTCTGTATGGATGCATGTGGTTGCTTTCTGCTACCAATGAGCCTTGCTTACATCTGTTCGCTAGGGAGAATCGACCTGTGGTAATTGTGGAGACCTCGACTGTCATCAACCACCCCCGACCGACCACCGATAACCTCCCCCCCCCAGAATGGGTCTACAGCCATCGAGAGTAGGACACACCTCTTGATTCGACATTGGTTTCCCTACAAGGCACCCCTGCCACCAAAGGACTGCCACGGTGCACCCAAACAACTCCTTAACACTCTCCTGCCCGAAAGAGAGTGGCATCCATCCCACATCAGCTTTCCCGCAGGAAAGGCACACGTCCCCACCCAAATCCATCCAGAGGATCATCCCTAGCTGATATGACGAACAGTATATATGGACATGACGAATAAGCATAGTATGGATTTGAACCCAGGACCTCCAAGTTACAATATCAGAGCTCTACCCACTGAGCTATTGAGGTCATTTAATCTGTAAAGGCGCTATGCGAAGTACGTGGGGTGCAACCTACACCAACCAATTGTGCTCGTGGGAAGTTGTTGGCCGACAAAGTCGAACCCGCAACCTCCCCGTTGCAACACCAGAGCTCTGCCCACCATACACTTGCTTACCAACTGACCGTCTCGAAGGTAAGACGTAAGACGCCAAGCATGCCACAGACACTGTCGTGGGGGCAATGGGAGTTCAACCCACGACCTCCTGAGTGCCGCTTGAACGCCTTACCAACTGCGCTACAACCACTACGTGTTGATTCTTGACTTTCTCTATGGTTTTCATAAAATTTTCAGAGTGTTTACTGCGTTCTCCTCCTTTTCTTTTCTGCATTCAATATGTCCCGCCACCCCTTTTTTTTTGTTTTGAATTGGACACGCTCCAATCTATTCGTGGGGAGCAACACGTGCTGGTAACCGGGCCCAGCGTCCCATTCAAAAACATATTGAGAAGATTCTGTAAGAAACTTTGAGTTACCGGGGCCATTACCCGGCTTCGGCTAAAGATGATAGCTATGCAATCTACACAGAAAGTTAGGTTCTCTAAGGATTGATCTTGGGAATATTTTCAAGCACTGGATGCAGACATCCAACCAAAAAAAACATCTCAACCTTACTCCGGCAAGACTTACTGCGGTAGAGCCACCATCTCCACTGCTGCTGTACCCTTTTT